TTCGATTTACATGATTTGTAACCCCACCACTTTTCATCTAAATATTAAAAAAATAGATTATAAAAAAGTAGACAGGGAGAATTAAGAGTAGCTTGATCATTTTTAAAAGTTGAAATGATCATGCAATTTCTGTTGGAATACTTTTATATTATCAACCACCTAATAAAAGCTATGAATGATGATTTTTAAAATAATTAGTATAAATATTTAATGGATTTGTATGTTATGATATTTTTTATTGGATGAAGGTGTGAAACTATTTTATAAAAAAGTTACTTTTATAATTATAAAATGCACAGTCTCATTGTTAATGCTTTATTTTACTTTTTAAATATAAACTTTACTTTATAATTTTCAGTTTTAATTTATAAAATTTGTCACCTTATTGTTTATTTTGAATATATTTTCTCTTAAAACATTTATATACAAAAGAACCTCTGAAAAATATTTTTTTTTCTATTTTCAAAACTACTATTTAAAAATTGAAAATTAATTTAAAAAATAATGTAACCATTTGAAAAAATTAGTAGAAAAAAACACAAAATAGAAAGACAAAATAAAGGGGTCCAAACTAATATTATAGTGTGATAAACCATAAACCCTCTTCATCTCAACAAAAAGGGCAGCAGGCACTTATGGATTTAAAATTTATTAAAAATTCTTAAATAAAAATATAAATGTCCATATTTTTATATTTTTCAATAAATAATATCACTCAATAACAGTTGCATTAAAAAAATATTATTCTCATTTGTATTCATTCTTTATGTCAGCAATTTTAATTTTTGTCTATGTATTTTTGCTGAGGCCAAGGTGAAACTTGTTCATCATGCATAGGCTTAGACACCGTGTCTGACCTACGTGTCATAACCAAGCAACTCCACTTTTCTATATAATCCACCCTTCTTCTCTCCCACAGACACATACCAGCAAGAAATCTTTCATTTGCATCTCTTAGTTCTCCTTTTCATCATTTGTATTGCTATTCTGTTTTAAATTTCTTCCTCAGTCATGAGTGCTAACACACAAGATGCACAAGAATACCTAGTTGAAGTCCAGACAACAACTCAAGAAACCGTTGTTACTCCACTAGACAACACATCCTCAAAAAATGTGTGTTAGTGAATGTTTATTTATGCTGCTGACCATGATTGAGTTTCTCATGCAACATCATGATTAATATTGTTTCCTTCAACTCTGTTTATGCATGACTGTGATTGATTTATGTACTTTTCCCTGTAATTGAAAATAGGTGTCAGGTGAAAAGAAGAAGATTGTGGGAGTGTTCTACAAGGGGAATGAGTATGCAAAACTGAATCCTGATTTTGTGGGCTGTGTTGAAGGAGCATTGGGTATACGCCAGTGGCTGGAATCCCAGGGCCATCAGTATATTGTCACTGATGACAAAGAAGGACCAGATTCTGGTTAGTAGCTTGCTAATCGATTCAAGTTTATATATCTTGAGATTTGAGTGTTGCTTGATGAATCAATCTCACCAATTTCCATGTGTTATTATTATTTTATTAAAAATATGGTGATGTATCATGTGAAGATAAGCATGTTTCATAATTTTTTCTGAAACATTATGGTAATAACACTGTGGAAGGTGAATGTAGTTTTCCCTTAAAGTTTATAATTGGTTGAACTTATGGCTGTTTATTGTTTTTTCTGTTGCAGAACTTGAGAGAAATCTTTATGATGCACATGTTATAATATCTACTCCATTTCATCCTGCCTATGTCACTGCTGAAAGAATAAAGAAAGCCAAAAATTTAGAGTTGCTTTTGACTGCTGGCATTGGGTCAGATCACATTGATCTCAAGGCTGCAGCTGCTGCTGGTATAACTGTGGCAGAGGTCACTGGAAGCAATGTGGTGTCAGTTGCTGAGGATGAACTCATGAGAATCCTCATTCTAATTAGGAATTTCCTTCCAGGGTACCATCAGTCTGTTAATGGGGAATGGAATGTTGCTGGCATTGCTCACAGAGCTTATGATCTTGAAGGAAAGACAGTAGGAACAGTAGGTGCCGGATGAATTGGGAAGCTTTTACTCCAAAGGTTGAAACCTTTTAACTGTAATCTTCTGTATTTTGATCGGATTAGGATGGACCTTGGATTGGAGAAAGAGATTGGAGCAAAGTTTGAGGAGGAGCTTGATGCTATGCTTCCAAAGTGTGATGTTATTGTTATCAACACACCTCTTACTGAGCAAACAAGGTATACTTTCAATATCTCAGTCAATACAAAAATCATTCACTCTTGAAATCTCAAGCAAATTATTAATTTCACTCTTGAATGCTATTTGTTGAAACATTAGATCTGTATGAATATTGAAATTCTTTTAGCATTTTCTAGTGAGGAGTAGTGACCAGTGATTTTTGTGATACAGGGGATTGTTTGACAAAGATAAAATTTCCAAGTGCAAGAAAGGTGTCTTGATTGTTAACAATGCTAGAGGGGCTATTATGGACACCCAAGCAGTTGCTGATGCTTGTTCAAATGGCCACGTGGCAGGTAATTCTAAAACCAGTTCACAAAAAAATTGTTTACAGTAGCAAAACAAGAAAACTAGTATTGTAAGTTGATGATATTCTAACACATTCATGGTTCTTATGTGTGTATATAATATCAAATTATCAACAACTGATTCTTTTATCAAATTACTTATGTTACTCTGCAAAATGGAAAGTAAGTTGTTCTGTTATGTCCCCAAGTGACAACCTTTTGGGATAGCTATTCATGACAATATTATCTGAAAAACATACAATTTAGATTGTGGTTTGTTACTATTCTTTGTTGAATTGTCATCTCTAATTAAACTTTGACCCCCTTTCCAAATCTCTTAATTGTACAGGTTACAGTGGTGATGTTTGGTTCCCACAACCAGCTCCAAAAGATCATCCATGGCGCTACATGCCAAACCATGCCATGACTCCTCATGTTTCTGGCACTACCATAGATGCACAGGTATTTTAACTTCTGTCTATAGCATCAGCTTATCCTTATCCTTTTGTGTTCTTTCACTCGAATAACACTAAATGATAATAAACCAAACTTGTGCAGCTACGTTATGCTGCTGGTGTGAAAGACATGCTTGATAGGCACTTCAGGGGTGAAGACTTTCCAGAACAAAACTACATTGTGAAGGAGGGTCAACTTGCAAGCCAATATCGGTGAAGGATATCAATATGGTCTTAGAAACTTCCATTTCTAAGGCCAACAATGGAAGAGCAAATAAAGATTCAGAGAGCCCTTTGATTTTGCGATGTACTTGTTTTGTTGAATTTGAACTACTTTAATTAATCTCAAATAAAATTGCAAGGAACTCTATGTTCCATGCATGGATCTTTTGTTTTTCGAATTTAAATGTGCTGCTTGAAATTAGTACTTATTGGCATGATGCATTAGAACCAAAATCCTGTTAGTCTTTTATGTTTACTTTTTATTTTCTTAAACTTAGCTTTTACTAAACTTTGTTTTGCAGTTTCAAATAAGGTTTAAAACAATATACTTTCAGGCTTTGCGACAGTCAAAATCATTCATTATTTGAATATATTGAAAATTGAAGATCATATTATCTTTTTATATATTTTATATTTCACATCTAATAGCAACAATAATAAGTTTAACCACATCATTATGACAAAAAGAGAGTTATCATTTCAATTTATACTATTAAATAAATTATTTACAGTTTTACATTTTTTTCCATAAATGTTTGATAAGATTTCATTTTAATAAATATTTTGAAGTAATTTATCTTTAAATACTGTTTAATATTTATCGATGTTTGGTATTGTCTGTTTCTACGATATCACCGTAAATGAGGTACCTTTCTCATCTTGTTTCAATCTTATTTCATGATGCTTTTGTAAAATCAGTAACTTGGGTTATGATTTTTTTTACTTTATATATATATATATATATATATATATATATATATATACACACACATATAAATATATATATATATATATATATATATATATATATATATATATATATATATATATATATATATATATATATATATATATATAAATACAAATATATATATATATATATATATATATATATATATATATATATATATATAATGAATTAATTATATATCATTTGTTTAAAAAATATGTAATGCCAATAAACTTTTTTTTTATGGCGTACCACATAGCACATAGATTAATGGACATGAAATTGTTGAACTTAATGCATTGTATGTTGTTTCAGTTATAAATGTTTGAGTGCTAATTATGCAATTGTATCAAATAATAAAAAACGAGAGTTCTCTGTTTTGGAATACAAATATAGCCTTTGTACACAATTTTGAAGAATATCTATATCAAATTGGTCCAAAACAAGAAAGAAGGTGATTTGATTAATTGATATTTAAAATTGATTACAATGTGCTTTGATTAAAAAAAATCACTTGGTTCAATTACTTTACTTTTGAGAATTAGACAACACTCTTTTCCATATTAGTTTGGTGCATTAAAATTTGTAGAAGTACTTTTCAAACTCTATCCCAAACACAGTACAGCTTATTGTGTTATAAAACCCTTCCTTAGATCTCTCTTTTGATCACATTCTTAAACAACAACAACAAAAAATGGTGCTTTAATATATTATTGTTGTGCATGTTGGTGATTTACTTTAAAAAATTAAATACATTGCTATTCAATGGCAATAAAGGAAAAATTAAATATATTTTCAAGTGTTTATTCCTAAGCCAGGAAAATTCATTTATACTTTTCTTTTTTATATTAAAATGATTATTAGACACGCATAGGAATGAAAATAGAAGAAAGAAAATATGTAAATTATATTTAAAAATAATAATTAAGTGTATCCATCATCAGCAATATGTTTAAAACAAAAATAAAAGGTTTAGGAATATGCATATATGCATATAATTGGTAACTAAATAAAGTATTAATAGATGAATAAAAAAGGACAACAGAAAGTGATGAATTTATTTTAGTTATGAAAAAGTAAGTGTTTATCATCGGATTTCAATTTTGATTCCTCTTTTACAATCATCTTTGACACTTGAAATGAAATGAATGGGTCCGAAATCAGGAAGTTGAATATGATCATGTCCTGTTCTATACACTCTCGAATATCTTGGATCTTTTGGAACTGTGCATGTTTTGTATCCTATCTCGTCCACAAACACCACGTTGTGCACAGAAGGATTGTAATTGAAAACTGCACATACAAAACAATTTTGTAAAACAAATATTACAAAGAAAAATAAGGATACAACATTTTTTAACATCATTTACGTGTCATTATGTGATTGGTTCATATTAATGTTTATGATTATTATTATTATTATTGACTGTGAAGTTATTTTGGATCAATCACACAATGATATGTAAATAATATTAAAATGTTGTTAAAAAAATGTTGTCAAATATCATTATCCTACGTCAAATACTTCTTACCAATATAAACAAAAAGTTAGAATACAATGGTAATTCAAGTTAGATCACTTATAATACATCGATATTTTAAGTTGAATGTTTTAAAATATCTCATTTATAATATGATGGAAAATAATTTATAACACTGATCATATTCATTTTGAAATCATTTGAATTTTTCATTAAAAGAAACCTCGGACACTCCGACACCAATAAAACATAAGCATTTCATATATGGAAAAATCATGATTATAACCTAAAACTTTGAAGTAATATGTTTGTTTGTGAATCTTCTTACAAATTTAGAAATATGGATTTTCAGCTTAGCTTTTGATTCTGTCCTTTGTTTAGTCTTCAAAACATAATTATGAAAACATAAGCATTTCATATATGAACATGTTTTAAAAAAAAATTAAAAACCTTCTTAATACATTAACTTAAAGTATATTTGAGAGACTTAATAGAAAGAAAGTAAAAAAAAAAATCAATAAAATTCATAAACACTTAATAAAAAATATGCAAAGAAAAAGCACTAACCGAGCACATCACCAGAAGCAATGTTCTTGTCCTTAGGCCAATCAGTAACATTAAAGGTCCAACATATATCCTCTGAGCATGAACCATCTTTTTTCCCAACCACATAGGTTCTTGCATCAACCAAATCAGACAAAACCAGCAACATACCTAAAACGACCATCACTGCAACAATGTTTCTTCCCTCACCCATTTTTTCAGATGTGTTATCACCAACCTAAGTTCAACCCTTTTATACTTTCACAGACTCTGTTCTGCTTCATCTTTCAATATTATTCACGTTAAATAATTCGCTTCAATACTGATATTATTCATAAACATACCTATTAAAGATTATTTAATCAACATATTGTTCTTTTCCAGTCTTTTTTTACAGCTGACAGTTTTGGTCAATGGTAATAATCATATTAGTAACTGAAGTTTTAGTAATAATTTTTTTTTTAAAACAATTGATGATCTATTAATTTTTTTCTTTCTGATTTATTCTTAATTAATACTTTTATTAAAACGGTCAGTCCATTAACTTTGTTCGCATTTTTTTTAAAGACAGATTGTCCTTTCTATATAATATAACAATTGTCAATTTTAATTAATATCTAAGATTTGATTCCACCACATTCATATATATCTTTTTTTTATGATATTAATAACACTATCATTTGAAGAAAAAAAATGTGGTAGTTAGAAATAGGCTTAATACCCTATTTTGTCCCCATGTCAAATTAGTCAATCCTTTAAATTATCTAAGTAGAAGAAAGAGAAAAATAATTAACGCCGTTTGTACGGATTTAACGGGAGGATTTCATTGATGCAAATTTTATTAAGTGAGGACGTAATTGACGCATTTTTTAAAGATGGACTAATTTGACATTTTCGAGCGAAGCTGGGGACAAAATAGGGTATTAAGCCTTAGAAATACTTGGTTGTGGACTCGGTTTTTTGGGTTATAAATAAAAGTAAATATATAATATTTCAATGCTACATTTACTTTCATCCGTCTCTCTTATATATAATGGCCATTTATGACAAAAGTATGTTGGTAATTAGAAATATTCTATCTTTAGAATAACTATGAATACGTTTTTTTGAGTAATAAATAAAAATAAATGTAGTATTTGAATTTAAAAATTATATATTTATTGTTATGCCATAAAGAATTTTAAATTGCATTCGTTGGGATGGGATAAGAATATTGTTTTTATTTCCAAGATTTTCTTTGAATTAAAACTTGTCTTGAAACTGTAAAAGAGTAAGATCAATTAAATTTTTGTTAATGAACATTTATATATATATATATATATATATATATATATATAGTGATGTAAAATAAAATTATAAAAATGAAAATTACAGCTATCCTTTTAATTAGTAGACGAGAATTTTATGACAGTTATTTATTTCAATTTAAATACCTAAAATACAAAAAGAAAAAAGAACAAAGCCAATAAAATTCAACTTGATTCATTTTATTCATAAAGATTATTAAAAGTTATAAACAATGTTTTTATAAATATAATTAAACAACTTGTAGATAATGATTACATAACTTTTTGAATGGGACTTTAAAAGTTTGTAGATATATATTTTTTAAATTAAATTATTTTTTAATTAATTACTTATAAGAGTAATAAAACTATATATATATATATATATATATATGTTTGTATGTATATATATTATTGTTATAGAAATGTAAATATACGTATGCCTTTTTGCATGTTTATATATATTTTGCGAGCAAATAAATAATTATCTTTTTAAGTTAATATAACTATTTTACGGATTTTATCTCTCAACATTTTTATACTATTTTATTTAAATTTAATATTTTAAAACTAAAATAGTTATATATAATAAAAAATTATTTTTAAAATAAATAAAAATTAGTTATATTTATTTTTATAAATATATATTTTTTTGTTATGTATGTATTTTCCCTAGGTGTAAAATTTTGTAAGTAATATTTAGTGTATTTATTTGTTTCTCTTTCCACCATTAAAAAATAATTAAATAATATTTTATTTTAGAAATGATCTTTATTTTACATTTTTTTATCACATTTACTTGTATGAACTTTATAATTTTATTAATTAATAAATTATTCCCCATAAATATAAATTGAATAATGACATCTTATTATAGTAACCAAAATAAATAAATATAATTATCTTGCAAACTGAAATTGGAGAGAATAGTTTTTGTATCGGCATTGCTACAATCAAAGACTAAAACTGAAGTTAACAACCACATACATGTCAAGAACAGTTTCCTAACATCGCCATGATCAAAACACACAAATTGATAAGCACAAATGCCATCATTTTATTAGATATATCAAAGAGATGAAAGACTAAATTATGCTGGAATGATCGCAACTTTGGTTCCTTTTTGGCAGAGACGATTGATACTACAAATGTAGTAACTTGGTCCTTCTGGAACTTGAATATAATCATGTCCTGTCCGATACACTATTGGATTTTTTCCAGGATTACATGTTCTGTATCCTTCCTCGTCCACAAGAGTAACATCACGCGTAAAAAGATCGTAATTGAATACTGCAATTACAAAACCATCAAATCAACGTAAGTTTCATGCATATATGATTATTGTGTTTGTAGCTGAGAAGCAGATGATACTAACCTAGAATATCTCCAGATTTAATGGTCTTGTTTTTAGGCCAATCACTGATTCCATTGGCCCAACATACGTCTTGTAAGCATGTTCCATCTTTTTTCCCAACATAAAACAGCTTTCCATAAACCATTTCTGTTGAAACCACCAACATACTAAGAACCACCATTGTTACTGCAAAATTGTGTCTTCTCTCACCCATTGTTGCTGTGTTAAGGTGGATATGAAAGATGTGTTTCAAAACACAGTACCAGGTAGCAGATTTATAGTTGCAGAGGGTTCCATTTGGTGGATGTTTGAATATTTTTGTGAGTTGACCACATTTCACTCTCTGTATTTATTGTCTGCATTAAAAAATTGGCTTGAATCGTTTTAATCATAAACATTGCTATTGATCATTATTCAATGAAAATAAATACTCCTTTCAGTTTCTTTTTTTTTACTGCACCGGTTTTGGTCCATGGTAATTATCATAAATGTATCATAATAATCATGATAAGTTAAGAACTAGAAAAATACATATTAATAAAAACAAGTTTGATGCAATATAAAGCATAACAAGTATATATAAAATACAGGATAATAGCTAACTAATACATTAAGAAAAACAAATAGCAATTCTTGCATAATATAAAGTTATATGAAGGTCAGACGTAACGAGTAAATTATAATAAATAAATAATTAAAAAGTAATTTCATACAACTTGGTTTAATTTTGAAAATTTGTTGAACTTTGTTTAATGCACTGATTTTGAACAATTTTAGATGTTGTAAAGAACCAGTTTTAAGTTAATCAGGGAAGTTTTTACTATAAAATATTTATTGTTTCCAGTGAATAAATTAAATTAAAACAATATCTATAATCTAGGTATTAAATTTGTTATTGCTCTTAACCAAGTCTGTATAACTCATTTATTAGTTGCAAATAAGCATTTTATTTTAAGATTTCACTTACTATAATGAAAAATAATATAGAAAAGTAAAGGAATCCTACTATTATAAAACCATTTTACCAGCATTTTACCTTCCAAATATTTAAAATAGAGAGAATTAATGCAAGAAAATAAGAGCAGATATCACGGAAAAATAGCAGTAATTACGATGGAGTTCGATTCAATATAATAATGTAGAAAAAACAAGAATCTTTAAAATGCATTACATTTGGTTGTGCACCAGTATCCTCACCACTTTTCTTTTCACTTTGTTGAATTATACCGTTTTATTAAGCATATATATTTACAAATAATCTTTGTCACTAAAAATAGTTAAATCTATGAACTGGTTAGAATTCATAGTTAACCTAATCAATCCATATAAAGCATTACATTAAATATCATTACATAGTAGGTAAATACTGTCTAGGTGAGTAATTTTGTATATTTATAATTACTACCTCTTCATTGAAACTGAAACGTTATATTTGAATATTATCGATATTGCAGATTATAATTGTGTAATTAGAAATTCTACAACAATAAAATAACATTGAAACTTCTGACTTTTTCTAAAATTCCGGACAGAAAGAATAATCTATAACAAAACTTTAATAAAGTGAAGAGTAGATTAATTTGATAAAAATGTCATATTATTATAATACTAAATGAAAGACAAACAAAAAGAAACCAGAAGCTACACCTTAACTATTCAAATGAAAGTATACAAGTATTTGATCTCTTCCTCAACCATGAGATTACATCTATCTTCCGTTTTAGTTTGTCCCAATCAGAATTATCATCATATTTGCAAGTGTGGATTTTGATTTTCATGGCTTGCAAATATTTTGCATTCCCCAAAATATATCTTACAAATTGAAACCCACTTGAAAAACGGAAATCTAAGAGATGACAGGTTTTAAGGTGTGATGAAATGCATTCTGGAACAGATTCTGGATATGGCCAAAGTTCGTTTTCACAGTCTTTATGAGGACAATCCAAACTGAACTGATATCATAAAACTATATTAATACGAATGAATGAAAAAATACAAAAACTAAAATTCATACTTGAAAGCTTAAATCATCAAACCTTAATGTCAAGTGTTTGAAGCTTCGGACAATGCTTGAGCAATTCCAGGACCACGACCCAATTGATAGGAAAAAAAGTATACTTCAATTGAAGTTCAACTAAATTCTGAAAGTCAATCACCAGTTCTTGACGACATATCTGCAAAAGATGCAAAAAAAGTATATAAAAAATCATAAATATTTTTTCCTCAATAATGCAAAGTAAAAACAAACTAATCTCACAGGGATTACCACACGTAGGAACAAAACTTCAACATTCTTAACAATTTCAAGAGAAACTAAACCACCATCGATGTCGGCTCTGACCAACTTAGGGCATTCCTTGAACTTTCCTTCGTTAATGAGACGTGTATCTCTAACTTCCAATACTTCAAGATTAGGAATTCCAGAAAGAAGTTGAGAAAAATCATCTTCTTTTGAGGAATAAACAAAATTCAAATGCAAGATCTTAAGTAAGGGCAAATCAACAACGAAAATATCTTTCACGGTTGTGTAAGCCAACTTCAGAACTACAAGAGTTTTGCAACTAAACACCACAGAGGGCAAAACATTATTGCTATTCAGATAGAGGTCGAGGTGCTGAAGTTTACTACTTCCACTCACTGCATCCTTAATCCATATGTTTAATCGTTCAGTAAGATAATAGATGATTTCAGATTTGAGGGGAAATACATATAGGGGCTGGATTATAAATCTGAGGCGAAATCTATGTAGGGGCTGGTCTCCATGCAGAAGCAAGAAATAGTCCACCGAGCGATAAAACGTTTTTTCCTCGAAGCTATGCCAAAAGAGTTCGTTAATGTTGTCGAAATCAAAAGAGGGAACTGAACGCCACAGAAGATTCCATCGCTTGGAGAGAACAGTGGTTGCAACAACTTGTTGGGATGGAAGAAGAGAAAGAATATAACAAATTATTTCGTCTGGAAGACTACTTATCAAATCAGCCATGATTCAGAGTACCAAATCTACCATGGCTGCATCAGCTTCTTATAGGAATAACTCACCGCCCAACGTTTCAAATTCTTTGAGAAGACTTTATTTTGCGTAGGAATTGATGATGTTCAATGAGAACCTAAGCGTTGGGAAGTGAAAGGAAAAAGCTAGGGTTGTATTTCCCATTTTCTGCATTCAAACAACTTATGTAATGGTATCACTCATCACTTATTAAATATTCCTTTCCATCAAAATAAATACTCCTTTCCGTTTCTTTTTCTTACTAAACATTGCTATTGGTCCATAATAATTATGTTTCAAAATTTATAATTTTTCAAAACACTGGTTGAGCTTGGTTTAGTGCACCAATTTTGAAGTATTTTTAATTGTTAATTATAAAAAAAACTAGTTTTAAGTTCATGACGGAAGTTTTCCTATATTTATTGTTTCTAGTAAATAAATTAAATTGTACCGATATCTTTTATCTAGGTATTAAATTTGTTAATGCTCTTTACCCATTCTGTTTACCCTTTTATTAGTTACAAATATGTATGTTCCAAAAACATTTTTAAAATAGAGTATGGTGAAGTATTTTCCCAATAGTTCTCGCAAGAAAATAACAGTAGATATCATGGAAAGTAGCAGTAATTATGATGGTTTCATTCAATAAAATAGATATGTACGCGGATCCTTTATTTACATTTAACTGTGTACTAGTATTCAATAAAATAGTCTTTGCTACTTGGTTAGTTAGTTCCGTAACTTCGGCTATCATGGTTACATATTTTTGACAGCTTCTTTCTTGGTTTATTTGGATTAACTGATCAAGCTTGAATGAACATAACTGATCGTCTGTTGACTGTAATTTGATTGGGTTAACTTGGCATTTGTCTTGTATTTGACCCTTGCTGGTCGTTCTGTTTAGTTGGTGGATGATCGTTGTTAAAGGTTACATGGACGAGCGTATAATGTAACAGATCGTGTTGTTAGTATTATATCTGGTGATATGGCGATCGTTTGGTCTAGGTGGTTGACGATCGTTCGCGAGTTGAGTTGGTTATACCTGATCGTTCACTTGTGAGTGGTTGTGATAATTCCAAATCGATCGTTAAGCAAAGCGATCGTTTGAGTATTTGTTGATATCTGCTCGGTTCACTATCCTACTATACATAATGCCCCCCGAGTCCGAGTTAGCTAACACGGTTTGTGCGTGTAGGCTAACTATAGGACGTTGAGATCACGTTTGTTGAGGAGGGTTATTGGTACGCACCGTATTGTTGGGATGTTTTCGGATTTCCCGCTTTCTGAGGTATTTGGAAAGGCGTAAAAATAGAGTCGTTGGACTAAGTGGATCCTACGGCTTGTCTTGCTCTACTATCAGTTTTTCCCTCATTAATGTGAAATGATATATGAAGAGGCGTTGAGATAGTTTAGTTGTGGCATTATCAGTGACGATTTTCCTTCTCCAACGTCGTTCTTCTCTTTTACGCATCTATCAAGTAAACCTAGATCTTTTCTCTGTTCTAGATTGTTCACTGTTGACGATGGAAGAAAAGGGGTTGAATGAAGGTGTTGAAACGCCGGAAGTTTCGTCGACAGGAAGGTGCCATGAAATCTCCTCCATTCTTGGTGGTGAAAGGCGTTTGTATATGGGAATGTGCTAACTGAAAACCCAGAAGAACTAGCTTCCTCTTCATTCGGCGGCAGCAATTATGATTGGGCTTCTCGGGATGTAAGTGATTTTTGTAGTTTGTTTAAAAGTAGAGTAGTGCTGGAAGATTGGGTAGATAATAGTTGTATTCTGAGAACCCTAGGTTATAAATCCTGTATAAAGTTGGGGGCCTGCCGTGAAAATGAAAGGGTACAAGTATCTGATATCTTCATGCAGGAAGATAATTCTCTTTTCATATCATTAATTTCTTCCTCAAGAGCGTGGAATTTCATGGTCCGTAGATATTTTGCATTCTCCAATATATATCTTGCAAAGTGAAACTCATCTTTAGAACCACTGTAATATATAAGACAGCAGGTTTTAAGGTGTGATGAAATGCATGCAGGAACAGTTTGTGGGTATGGCCAAACATCTTCTTCATAACCTGGTAAATTGAAGGTCTGACATATACGAACATCGGACTGATAACAAGGAACATAAAAATTGGATTAATACTAATGCTTGAAGAAAATATAACAAGAAAATCCACATTTGAAAAACTTAATCATTAAACCTTATAAATGTCAATGACAAGACTTTGAAGCTTGGGACAATGATCGAGCACTTTCAAGACCAGAAGCCAATCCAGTTCCACCTTCAATTGAAGTTGAACTAAATTGTGAAAGTCAAAATTCAGGTACAGGTTTGGTTGAAATATCTGCAAGAAAAACGAAATGATATCAAAACATCAGATAAATGTCAACCAAACCTTAAATATGTCACAGGCATTACATAATCGAATTTCGAAACTTCAACATCCTTAAATATTTCCAATGGAAGGAAGAGTACATCGATCGTGACTCTAACCAACTTGGGCAATCTGATAAACTTTCCTTTAGTTTTACAATTCAAACCACTGACTTCTAAGTCCTCAAGATTTGGACACCCAGAAAGAAGCAGATCAATTTCTATTGGGGAAATAATATCTTCTAGATGCAAGATCTTAAGCAAAGGCAAATCAACAAAGGAAATATCTTCCACTGTTATGAAATTCAACTTGAGAACCACAAGAGTTTTAAAGCTAAACACCACAGATGGAATGACAAAGTCCTCCCAAGGACAACAGAGGTCGATGATTTGAACTCTACAACTTCCACTCAGAGCAGTCTGAATCCGTGTCTTGATACTTTCAGTAATATCAAAGGAAGAGAAACATCTAAGGCGAAATTTATACAAGAGTTGATCTCCACGACAAACCAAGAAAGAGTACACCGAGCTATAAAACGTATTGAGAGTTTTTTCGAATTTGAGAAGCCAAAAATATTCCTTAAAGGTATTGAAATCGAAAGAGGGAACAGAACGCCAGAGAAGATTCCAGCGCTTGGAGAGAACAGTGGTTGCAACAACTTGTTGGGATGGAAGAAAAGAAAGAATATAACAAATTATTTCGTCTGGCAGACTACTTATCAAATCAGCC